TCCAGGCATTCATAAAACCTTGGCTCTCATGGAGAGGGCCTTCTATTGGCCGAAGATGGAGACTGCTGTGGAGGAATCTGTTCGAACGTGCCTCACTTTCCAATAAGACAAGGTAGAGCAACAGAAGCCGATGGGACTTTTGGAGCTGTTGCCCATACTAGAAAGGCCGTGGGAGAGCATTTCCTTGGACTTCATATCAAGCTTGCCCGTAGTAGGGAGACTCGGATCAATACTCGTGGTGGTTGATCGATTTTCTAAGTATGCAACATTCATTACTGCTCCCCTACACTGTTCAGTAGAGGAGGCGGGCAAGCTGATGATGAAGGATGTGGTGAAGTATTATGGAGTCCTGCACAATATCATAAGTGATCGAGACGCTCGGTTCCTGAGACGATTCTGGACCGAGCTATTCAAATTATTGGGGTCAAAGTTATACTTCTCCACAAGCCTCCACCCCCAGACGGATGGCCAGACTAAAAGGATAAACTCACTCCTAGAGCAATATCTTCGGCACTACGTGAGTGCCAACCAACAAGATTGGGTGAAGTTGTTGGACATTGCCCAATTCTCCTACAATTTGCAACGGAGCTCTACGTCCAACAAGAGCCCCTTTGAGATTATTATAGGGCAACAACCGTCAACTCCTCATACCATGGTAATTGGATATACTAGGAGTAGTCCGTCAGCCTACCACTTTGCAAGGGAGTGGTACCGAAATGTAGATATTGTACGAGCTTACTTGGAGAAGGTGGCAAAAAGAATAAAGAAGTGGGCAGACTTGGGAAGGCGACCGCAAGAGTTCAAGATCAACGATTTGTTGTTAGTCAAGCTCCAACCAGTATCACTCCAATTCTTTAGGAACAAAGTATATAAAGGATTGGTGTGCAAGTATGAAGGGCCCTTCCCAATTATTAGTAGGGTGGGCAACATCTCCTACAAGTTATAGTTACTGACATAGTTCAAAATTCATAATGTTCTTCACGCCAGCAACTTGAAAGCCTACCACTCGGATCCGCAAGATGCTTCCCAAATTGTTCTAACTCAGCTACCCCCCACCACAGCCTCCTACGAGAAGCGAGTTGAAACCATTCTAGCGGACCGCAAGATTAAGCTATCCACTGGAACTAAGCAAACCGAGTACATGGTGAAGTAGCGAAAGTTTCCCCGAACTTAAACTAGTTGGGAGCCTAAAGACACCCTATGACATGAAGAAGCAATCATCAACAACTATCAACAAGCGTCGACGAGAGTGTCGACAGTTTGAGTGGGGGAGAATGTCACAATCGGTCGTTGCACACTCGCAACAACTCTATTCAACGAACCGTTCGTCGCTCTCGTCTATATGTACAACTGCTTGGCAGCATGTTTTGTCTTGGTTTTAAGTCATTTTGCTTATAAAAATATAAGTTCGAACAAGTTGCAGCGCTACAGTGCGACCGCTCACTGAACCGAGCAAAACAACCTCAAAACAGCTCCATTTTCGCGTGCCATGGGCTGATTTCTACAGCCCACTATAGCACGCGAAACGTCAGCCATTTCAGCACCCTGGAACCTCTCGAGCGACATAGGGCTGGATGGGGCTTCGGTATAGTGTCAGGCGTTGAACAATCTTTTGCAAGTTCGCACGTTACCTTGACGAGAACTTGTTATCGCGCCCGGCACCCGCTGAGCAGCTGTTTGTAGACTTGCAGCTGTTCATTCAACTTTATAAAGTCCTTGTTTCCCCCCTCTCCCTCTTTTCTCTTGTGCTTGCAAAGTGCTCGTTGAATTGCTTGTAAAGCTTCCCCTTTTCGTGAGACATCAGGACTTGTCTATCACTCGTTCTTCGAACTAATCAACTTTCACTTTTTACAGGTCCTTCGGGACTAGCGAGAGGTTGCAAGTGGGCTGATCTTTGCGGATGCAAATCGCAAGGGTGAAGCGCAACTTAGGCAACGCAAGCTATGTTCGCGTCTTTGCCGTAAGGGTGCCTCGCGACTTAGGCAACGCAAGCTAAGTTCGAGTCTTTGCTGCAAATGTGCCTCACGCCTTAGGCAATTCCAGCTAAGGTCGTGACAGTACATGTAAAATATTTTTTTACAAAGTTTTAGAGCCCAATTAAGTAATATTACTTTCAAATAAAATTTTATTTTATTTTTAAAATTTTTATATCTCATTAATTAATAGATTAATTAAAAAAATATCAGATTATGTGATCTTATCTAATTAGGTAAAATATATTATGAATATAATTAAATTTTGATTATGGTTATTGATAATAAAAAAAATCTAATTATAATAGGATTCCTTATGAGATGATTTTGATGAGAGTGACTCTTGATAGGGGTAAAAAAACTGATTTGACATAACACCTCGGATTTGATGTAATACACCCCCACGCCGGACACCTTGTGCGGCACGTGGCTCCTGAACGAGCATTAACGACGACACGACGCGCACCTACACCCACCATGCCCAAGCAACCTCCTCGGCTGACCCCTCATGGCCGGTCAAGGTAGGGGAAGGCGCTGACTGACACCCCCCATACCCTGCGGTAGCTCGGCCTTCCACGCAACGACCACAACGACAGACGCCATCAGAGGTACGGCCCCGCCCCGGTAGGATGGCACACCAGGTAACGTCAAACCCACTTATAAATACCCCTTGGCTCCTAACAGGAAAAGGGGACAATCTCACAAAAACACTCCACCCTGCTTCACTAACTTAATCGTCGGAGGGGCCGGGCCGAGCAACGGGCTCGACCTGTGTGCAGGTACTCGACCGCCACTTAATCCGCCCGACGCCCCGAGAGTTTCCGGCCAGCGGCCTCCGTGGCAGCCACCGCAACCATCCAAGAGGAGCCACGTCTGATCCCAGTCATTTGGAGCCCTGAACCGGCTGCGTCGACCTCGAGGTCACGGCTGAGAAAGTTACTTACTGTAACAGATTGGCGCTAGAAGGAGGGCCATCCAAATGTCGAGCGATCAGCAGATCCACTTAGGCGGACCCTCGACGACCGGGCCCCCCGCCTCGGGGGAACACCCCCTACATAATGAAACCCACGACGAACGCCCCGCGGCGGTGTCAGAACGCTACTGGCAACTGTTCAATGACCCAGGCTTGACGCCTCCCGGCGATACACCCGCCGGCCCGTCGCAAGTGTCACCCGAGGCCTTCCATGACCTCACCCACCAGGTCCGAGCCTTGACAAACATCGTGCAGACTATCGTCCCGATCGTCTCCCCGCAAGCCCCTCCGCATGCGACCCGACCCACGCAGCAACTGGAGCCCCCTGTCCGGACTCACGCCCCGCTTCCAGAACTTCCTATCTCGCCCCGGAACCCCGCAACACGGCCCGGGAGCCGGGAGGCAGAGGACACGGCGAGCCGCCCCGAGCCCGAGGCTCCGACCATCGACTCGACGAATGCCTTGCGAGCTCAGCTACGCCTCGTCAGTCAAAAACTGGACGAGGTACAACAGGAAGTCCGCAAGTCAAAAGGGGAACTCGGGGCGGACGGACACCAAGGATCCCCGTTCACCCCCGAAATACAAGAACAGGCGATCCCGCCGCATTTCCGCCTCCCCTCGCTAGACGCATACGACGGCGCCGCTGACCCAGCGGACCACGTGGCCGCTTTTAGCGCTCAAATGGCGCTGTACGGGACTTCTGACGCTTTGATGTGCAGGGCGTTCCCGACGACTCTACGGGGGCCAGCTCGCGCATGGTACAGCAGCCTAAAGCCCGGGACCGTCGCCTCCTTCGATCAGCTCGCCAAGGATTTCGAGCTTAACTTCTTGGCCTATGCCCGACCGAAGCCGTCCATGGCGCTGCTCCTCGGACTCAACCAGAAGGAGGACGAGCCCCTCTCCCATTTTGTGAACCGCTTTACGACACAGATCCACGGATTATCGGATGCTCACCCCTCCCTCTTAATGCGGGCATTCATGACAGGCCTGCGGCCCTCCAGGTTCTTCTGGTCGCTCGTGGAGCGGCCCCCCGTCGCGGTCCCCGAAATGCTCCAGCGTGCCAGTCAATTCGTCGCCGCGGAGACTTGGATGGCTGGGAAGTGGGAGGATCACAAAAAGGTCAAGTCAGAGCCGCCCCGACAGCTACAACCCCTCGCCTCCCGGCGGAGGACTGACAGACCCGAATCAAGACCTCCTCCTCCCGCCTTGAATTCGTCCCGAACCGAGATTTTCCTGCACGAGAAGGGGAAGGGGCTGCTCAAGGACCCTCACCCGATGAGGAACCCGCGGGAGCTCGCGGACCGTTCAAGGTATTGCCGATTCCACCGACAGCACGGGCACGACACCGAACAGTGCTACGAGCTGAAGAGGCAAATCGAGGAGCTTATCCTCAGAGGACACCTCGGCCAGTATCTCCGGCCGAACAAGGAGCGGTCACCCCGACCGGAGGGCCCCGTCGAGCGACACGTCGATGTGATAGCCGGGGGCCCTGCATCTGGGGGCGGCTCCATGTCGGGCAGAAAGGCGTATGCCCGAGCCGCTCTCGACGAAACCTCGGGACGCGAGCCCGAGCCCGAGATTACCTTCCCGACCGGAGCTTCCGAGCGCCCCGATCATGACGACGCCTTAGTGATATCGGCCAGGGTAGCCAACGCGCACGTGAGGAGAATCATGGTCGACACGAGAAGTTGGGCCTCTATTTAGCGGCTTCCCCGCGAGCAGTGAGCTATGTCCTTATTAAGGAAAGCTCCGGCCAACAACTCCCGATTTACTATATCAGCCATGTCCTGAACGGACCTGAGGAGCGTTACCCGCCAATAGAAAAACTCGCGCTCGCCCTGGTGCTCTCGGCTCGGAAGTTGCGTCCCTACTTCCAGGCACACCCGGTGGAGGTCATCACCGACCAACCTCTTCGGCAGGTCTTAACAAAATTTGATGTTGCAGGTCGACTCCTTAAATGGGCGGTAGAGCTCGGCGAACACGATATAAGATACGTGCCCAGGACCGCCATTAAAGCCCAGGCAATGGCCGACTTCATCGCGGAGTTCACTTAGATGGAGGACGGAGACCCCAAGCAAACCCCCGAAGCTTGGACCCTACACGTGGACGGCTCGGCCAACTCAAGGGGTGCCGGCGCGGGACTGGTCCTCGTTGCCCCTGACGGACGTTCGTTCGAGCGTTCCCTCCGCTTCGGGTTTAAAGCCACTAATAACGAGGCGGAATACGAGGCGCTCCTAGCCGGACTAGGGCTGGCCCTCGAGATGCAGGCAGGCGCGATACACGTCTTCACCGACTCGCAGCTCGTGGCCGAGCAACTCAGCGGCGGATACGAAGCCCGCAACCCAACCATGGCGAGATACCTAGCGCGGGTAAGGGACCTAATTGCCAAGTTTCAATACTTTACGTTATCCAACATTCCGAGGAAGGAAAACGAACGAGCCGACGCGCTAGCTAAGCTGGCGTCGAAGCCGACCTCCGAGGCGCGGCCGGAGGCTGAGGAGCTCCCTGCTCGCGCCATTGAAGTGGCGACTACAGCCTCAGGCGGCACACCGACCACGTGGGTGTAGGAGCTGCTGCGTTTCAAGCGGGATGGAACCCTTCCCCTCGACGAAGCAGTGGCTCGGCGCCTACGTCGCACGCACGCATGGTACACCGAGGAGAGTGGCCGACTTTACAAACGGTCCTTCACCTACCCCCTCCTGCGATGCTTGGAGCCTGACGAAGCCCAGACGGTCCTAGCCAAGACCCACGAGGGGGTCTGTGGCGAACACGTCGGCGGGCGAACCCTAGCGCACAAGATACTCCGCCAGGGCTATTATTGGCCGAACATGTGCCGGGACGCGAAAGCTTACGTGCGGCGGTGCAGGTCGTGCCAGCAGCACGCCTGCGCACCCCGACAGCCAGCGGTCCCGCTCAGCCCCATCGACTGTGCGTGGCCGTTCGCACAGTGGGGTTTGGACCTCCTCGGGCCCTTCCCACCAGCTTCTGGACAGCGGCGGTACATAATCGTAGGAGTAGATTACTTCACAAAGTGGGTCGAGGCCGAGCCGCTGGCGACGATCACGGAATATCAAGTGGAGAAGTTCGTGTGGAAAAACCTAGTAACTCGGTTTGGGCTGCCCAAGGCCATTGTCACGGACAACGGACCTCAGTTCGCCGACAGAAGGTTCCGGGAATTCTGTGCCGGCCATGGCATTCAACTGAGGTACAGTTCGGTGGCCCACCCTCAGACGAACGGACTGGCGGAGGTAACTAACCGATCCATCTTGGACGGACTCAAAAGGAGAGTATCCGCAGCCCGATCGGTCTGGACAGATGAACTTCCCAGTGTACTGTGGTCGCTGCGCACCACTCCTAAGACCGCGACCGGGGAGTCCCCGTACAGCTTGACGTTCGGGACCGAAGCCGTCTTGCCACCCGAGATGACTGTTGCCACCCTCCGGACGAGGAGCTATGACCAAGAGTCTCGAGCGAAGGACTTCGTGCCGGTCTCGACATGCTCGAGGAACGACGTGCTGACGCGCACCTGAAAGCCCTCTCTTACCAGAGAGCCGTTGCGAGGGTCTACAACAAAAAGGTAAGACCCCGACCAATCAAATTAGGGGACCTAGTCCTGCGAAGGGTCGAGGTCAGCGACCCGCCCCTAGCAAGGGGAAAGCTGGCCCCCAAGTGGGAAGGACCTTATCGGGTCACCGAGGTGATCCGACCAGGTACTTACCGACTCACGACAATGAATGGTTCTCCCTTGCTGAGAACCTGGAATGTCTGGAACCTTAAGAAGTTTTTTGTCTGAAGTAGCGAAACCTTCTTTGAAACCTTGTCGGGCCGCCGAGGTGGTCCGACCAGGTGCTGAAAGCAAGCCGAGAGAAGAAAAAGTTTTTTTCACCCAGAAGGAGAGAAGACAGCAGTCGAGATAAGAAAAGGTTTTCTTTTGCATTGAGAGCAAGCCCACTTACAAGACACGACTTACAAAAGCCTGACCAAAAAACAAAATACAAAACCCATTTTTTATGTTTGGGGGACCTCTAGGCGATCGTCGAAGGGGACCTCCTCGGGCATGTCCACCCCCCAGTCCTCGGGGTGAGGAGTAAAAGGATCCTCCTCCACCTCGAGACCCGGTTGACGAGCACGAAAACGAGACGTGGCGATACGGTATCCGTATTCGAAGGACACCCGCCCCGTCCGCGTCAGCCCGAGCTCAAACCCCTCCGACCTTTTGTAAGCCTCGAGGAGCTCCTTGTCTCTCGCGGGTCGGAGACGGGCCTCCTCCACCAGCGCCTCCGAGGCCGTCTTCGCCTCAGCCTTCGCCGCGTCCAGTTTTTTACTGAGGGCGCCCGCCTCCGTCCTCAATAGGCGGAGTTCGGTCCGCTCCACCCTCATTATTTTCTGCAGACCCTCGTTCGCATCCTTTGAGGCCTCGAGCTCCGATCGGAGGCTCGCCACCTCCGCCTCCAGACCCGCCGCACGCTTTTCCGCGGCCGCCACGACCTCTGGGTCGGCCCCAGCTTGAACCTCTGTGATCTGGCGGTGGAGCTCGGCGTTGCGATGGACGAGGCCCCCGATGACTCGCCCTGCGTCGCGCACCCGGTCCATCAGAGCCACCGCGTAGTGGAGACCCTGCGCAGAGGGAAACGGGTCAAGAAGGCCGGCATCGGATGGACGAACCAGGAAAACGGGAACACACTTACCCAGGTCAGCGACTGGGCCGACTTGTTGAGCAGTGCCTCCGAGGGCAGAACATACAAGTCCCGAGCCATATCGGGATGGATGCCCCTCGGAGGAATGCCGCAGAGGGATCCCCTCCGGCCCATATCTTAGACCCCTGC